CGCGGAGGGCGCGGAGGGTGAACACTAGGCTAGGAACGGGCTAGGAACGGTCCTGCTCGTGATACCATCTAAAGAGTGGTTAGCAACGGAATGCTCGAGACTAGAAAGTGTGAGAGTACAAATATGCAACCCTAACAACTGTACTCCCTATTGTGCTACTCACTGTAGCCTACAAGCATAGAATTACATTTGACATGTTTTTCTATCATGATAAGGGTGTGAACACAGATTTAGGCCCATTAAACCCACACAAGGTTGACTGTTCATGAAGAACAGTAGTGTTATGAATGAACTTGTCAGAGTGCGCGGATATCGAATAACGAGAATGAGAAATTACAGAATGATTGAACAATGAAGTAGCGAGGCCTAAATAGGGGAAAACCTAGCTAGGCGGGGGGTTCGGGATGGGATGGCTCGGTGATGGCCACGATTGGAGCGGAGGCCGACTCGGGGGTGGTTCGGTGCGACGAAATAGGCATCGCAGGTTCGTCGCGACACCCTCGGGATGTCCTCGCTAACAACTTACTACAGTAAGGAATTCTAATTCCTTACACTCTCCCACCTTCCAAATAAGCCCTCCCTGTATGTAGACCGAAGCCTTCCGTAATGAGTACGCCGTTGATCTCCCTTTCAGCTGAATCCGACGGCTGAAATCCCTTGGGCGATATTTTTGAAAAAGTTGGAATGTAGGCCGTTGATGTAGTCAGGTCTCGATCTGACGGTCGAAGATGAAGTGGACCAATTCGAATTGAAGGTTGGAAACAGAGCCGTTGATCGAGCAGATGTTGATCGGACGGTCAGAGCTCGCGTTGACCGCTGATGATTTCAAATGTCGATCTGACGGTTGACGGTGACGCGGATGTGGAGGGAACCAGCTGACGCGAATTCAAACGCGATTGAGCAGGAACCGTAGATTGTGTCGGTGCGATCGCAATCGTCCGTCGTGCTGACGCAACCTGACAAAGTCAGAAAAGGACCAAGAAAACGCCAAGGAAGAAAACAGTGCAAAGCACTTTCTCCCCCCCTCCAAGAAAATGGCACCAGAAAAGTTCCCGCAGCTGCGCCGAGATGAAAACACACAAAAATCCAGGTGTTAAGTCCCACGAAGAAAGCCGTTGAGCGAAGAATGCCGGGTGAAGTTGCGTCGGTGTGGAAATTCTGATGACGAAACCAGGTATTACGTGCCCATAAAATCTTCGAGGGCGAACTCGCAGAAGTAGACCAGAAACCGAAACCAAAGTTGCCAAGTACTCGAACTGAAGCTTTTTGTCTTCACGTCGCCAGAATCGTGCAGTATCTGCAGCAGTTGCAACTGGCAGCACCTGACGTGGTTGAAATCAATGCAGTTGTCGTGGGCGGGTCGAGTGGATGGGTTTGTCGCTAGTAGAGTCGGAATGGAACCGTCCTGAAAACCTCTGGCCGTGAAATCAGGAGTGTTACGAGTGTCGTCGAAGTCGGCGATTGAAGGCGATTAAAGGCGAAGTTGTTTATCGAGAGTCGGCGATGGTCGTCGAAGCAGTAACCGTAGCGAATGTCACTCCGAAAAATATTGTCGAACACGAATCAGTGTCAGATGATGTCAGCACCTCCGGCGGGTTTGTCCATACTCGCCGAGCATGTTGTCGCAATCCGCCGATGACTCCCGGGCAGAGATGTAAAAATTACAGCTGTCTCTCCCCCCTGCCACTGTTGCTGCCGCCTCCTCCAGTTCGTCGTAAGTCGTTCATACCCCTTGAAAAGTCCGTGTAGTTCCCGCGCCGTTGCCCTGCGTAAATGTCGCGTGCGTTTAACCAAAACTCCGAAAAGTCTTCCGAAATTGTCGGCGCTTCCCGCCGTAAACCTGTAAGTCCCCACGTAAAACTCCGAAAATTTCGCTAAAAAACACACCGTAAAATTCGCCGTTGCAGTTGCAGTTCGCCTTCGAAATCTTCGTTCGTGCTATAGCCGCCCACTCGGTCACCATCAGTTTCCTTCGGTTTACCCGACCCCAGCATGTGGGTTAAATCGAGAACCGGGGACTGCCCTGGGTCTTCCGAGACCGAATTTCACGGAACCTAGAGGCATCAACGCCGTTGACCTCCGTAGTCGAAGCTGCTCCCGCCGATGTCGTTTAACAAAAACTCCCTGTTTCTCCCACCAGCGCTTTGCAGATGTTTCACCCATCGCTCGTCGCCGGCCGATAAGTTCCCGAAGCTACGACTGCTCCCACGCTTCCCTTTTTTGAAGAATTTCCCGAGGTGTGCGTTTAAACACCAAGGGTCCTAGGAATCCTTGCCGCTGTGTTTCTTGCCAGGCAACTTCGAAAAGCGCCCTTCAGGCGAAGTCCCCCAGCGACTCAACCGCACTCCAAGAAACGAAGAAACACCCTCAGCTTCATATTTTTTTTTGTCGTTTCACCCACCGAACATTCCACTTCCCGCCGTTCACCCAGCGTCCGCTTTTGTCGGATGGGGTATTGTCGGTGTTGCCCTGCGCGAACCCCAGCCACGGTGGAGAAGAAAAGACTATCGGAGTCGGGGTTGCCTTAGTTAAAAGGAAATCAGTCCCAACCGCTTCGCAGCCCACCGTGCCCGTCGCGCCACTAAAATTCCACAGCTTCCGGTCCCAGCTTCGCCGCTGCGCCGTCACCTCGTGTAGACGCCCGGGTCAGAGGAAACCTGTAAACTGCACCAGTGTTGTCCTGCGGCGCCCCGATTTTTTCGCGTGCTGTTTCACCCAGCCCGCTTTTGTCGGAGTAGAACAGTGCCGCAACTCCCCTTTTTTGTCTTTTCTGTACAGCTGTCGAACGGGCACCAAACCAGGTGCTTTTAACCAGCGCAGGGTAGGCTCGTGTTCACCCCCGTTATTCATCCGAATAAGGTCGACTGCATGAGTCGGAACCAGTAATCGGTGGGGATGGTGAGGTTCGGGCGAAGTAGGGCCGCAGATCGGTTCCACCGGCTTTTATCTGCTCCCCACGACGTTCTTCAACCCCCGCTTAGCCGTTGGGCAGTTTCTTCACGCGTGTCCCGGCGGCCTGCACCACACTCCGAAATTGTCGGGGTGGCACGTTGAACACCGTTTAATCGTGGGCTGTTGCGGCTGTCCCCGAAAACGGCTTCCTTGAACGGGGAAACCGATCTCGAAACTGTCGAACAGCTGGCAAGCAGCTCCAGGCACGCAGCAACAAACGAGTATTTCTCGGGTGTTCAGTCCCGATATGCCCTCGCGCCTGCGCCCCACTCCTGCTAAGTGCGATTTAGCCACGTCGTTGTCTGTTGCAGCCCGTAAGTGTCGGCGGGTCCAAAGTTCCCGTCTGTCCACAAGCACTTCTGCCGAAAATCGTCGACGACTCGCCCGCCAGTACGGTAAGCGCCGCACTATCCGGTCGGACGGGATAAAACTCAACCCCCGCATAATTCGGGCGGCTTGAGCGTCTATCTCTCCAGCCGTCGGGATCCTCTGACGCAAAACTCCATTTGCGCCTGGCGAGTCCTTCGAGCTGCCCTTTTCTTCACAGTAGAAACCTCCGAAATTGTCGCCCATGCTGACGCAGGCCCGTTGTCGCCAGCTGCCGAAGATTCTCCCGAGAATCTCGCGCACAAGATGACGGCTTGCCATCGACGTCACTTGCCGCGTAGGGACGACTCCGAAATCTTCGCGCAACTGTTGACGCAGATCCGCCAACGCCAGCTGCCACTCGTGATGACGACGTCGATGCTGTTCGTGCAGGTGCCGACGCAGGTCCGCTGACGCAGGCTGCCACACGAATCAAGCTCCGAAATCGTCGGAAATCGCAGCGGAAATTACTCACTTTAATGTCGCGACAGCTACTGCTGCCCGTCGCCCGGGGGGAGGGAGGTCATGGTCGATCGCGACCGTCGAGCTAAGGATCTGGCGGTGCCGAAGGAGTGCCCCGTAAAATTATGGCCGCGAAGAGCAACTAACTAGTTCTCTTGGCCGGCCTACGCAACTCCTCGACCCCAAGCCATCCTTACTCGTCCCCCCCCCCCGAGGGGTATTACACTCTAAAAAGCGGGGTAGGCTAGGAAAGTAGCTCTGATACCAGGTGTTATGAATGAACTTGTCAGAGTGCGCGGATATCGAATAACGAGAATGAGAAATTACAGAATGATTGAACAATGAAGTAGCGAGGCCTAAATAGGGGAAAACCTAGCTAGGCGGGGGGTTCGGGATGGGATGGCTCGGTGATGGCCACGATTGGAGCGGAGGCCGACTCGGGGGTGGTTCGGTGCGACGAAATAGGCATCGCAGGTTCGTCGCGACACCCTCGGGATATCCTCTCTAACAACTTACTACAGTAAGGAATTCTAATTCCTTACAAGTAGCAAACATGGGAGAAAACTATAGCCAGGTTTCAATGTTATGACCATAGCTAGATTTGAGGGTACATTCCGCTCTGGACACAAATGTCTCAATCGCGTCATAAAACCGTTGTACCAGTCTGCACCGCATTACACCTAAAGTGTCGAACATTTCCACCGCACTGCATCTCTTCGTTTGAGACGCGAGGCCTTTGTGACGCGCGTCAGGAACGTACCCTAAATGAGAAGGCCATAACAAGTTTTCAGTGTGATGTACCTAATTTCTGAATGCTCACAATTGCGGACCTGCTGAGGATGGAAAAAAAATCGCAAGCATCCCCATCTTTGAAGCATTTGAACGCACATATAAAAAATATGTCCATATGATAAGACCCGGGTACTATATCATTAGTTGCCTTTGACAAGACCCCCCCCCCCCCCATTTTTTTCTTGATTTTTTCATAAGACCCTAGGGTCTTATATCCGGGAGAATACGGTACATGAACACGAGGATGCAAGAAAGAGTTTCCAAATCAGGCTGGTGCAGTCATCATGGTTAGACAATGTCTGGGAAACCCTGGCTTTACCAGGGCAAAAGATGCACTACACCTTGGTTTCCCTGGCACTAACACGAAACAGGAACTTCGGATTTGGGGGTAGCTAAAGAAAGACCCCGTCTAAAAAGAATCAAGATATTTAGGGCATTTTCCCCTGATCTGAAGATGCTCGGCTAGCATCCCTTGCCTTTGCTGCTTGTGCCTGGGCCGAGGCATACTCTGAAGGCCAACCAACAACACAACACAGCAAACAACGAGACCCCACAGAATTCACAGGCAGACCAACAAGGGGCACAGGGGGGTGAGGGTGGGTTTTATCACCTACAATTGAATTGTACATTCACACCAATCCACCAATCCTGACCAGCCATGGCTCACACAGGCTCGACACAAGCCCTACTAGGACCATACACCTCATACGCACCTTGAAACGCCCTGGCTTTGTAGAATTGTCAATAATCAGCCAGCCTTGGTGAACGAGCATGAGGGTTCCAGGGGTCCTCACTCACCGTGAAGAGCAGAAAGAAAGGTATAAAAAACCAGCTACTCAGACACACACCTACTGTAGTAGCTCCTCATTATTCTAAACTTAATGAGATCCCGCATAGCCAGAAGCAGTGCTAGAACCATGCAGCTTATACACATCTCGCAACTCCTTGGTTTTTTCTTTTTTACTCAAACCAGTCCTAATATATAAACATGAGGGTCCCAGGGGGTCCTCCTCACTCACAAAAAAGAGCAGCAAGGTATCAAGAAGCAATTACTCCCATACACTCTTTGAAACTCCTTAACGGTGGTAACCTTCTCAAGGTCCAGCAGCGTCAGAAGCACTATGGTAACCACACACCTTGCGACTCCTCATCTATGGTAACCACGTTTGAGTCAACTCAAACTAGCCCTACAACTTCCATGCACCTCACACAGACCTTGTAACTCCTCGTAGGTGGTAACCATCTCAAGATCCAGCAGCGTGAGAAGCCCCCCACAAGGGCCATGCACCCCATACACACCTTGTAATTTATTGCTTTATTAAAATCTCATTAACAAGCTATTCTAATACACACCTTGTAACTGCTCATCGGTGGTAACCATCTCAAGATTCAGCAGCGTCAGAAGCCCTAGAAACGCCATGCCCCTCATACCCACCTTGCAACTACTCATTATGTGACTTTTGAGCCAACCCAGAAGTTACCTCATACACACCTTGTAACTCCTCATCGGTGGTAACCATCTCGAGATCCAGCAGCGTCAGAAGCCGATGCAAATCCACCCCGCTCGTCCAATTCTCCCTCCCATTCCCCTGCCGCAGCTTCAGCCTCCCTCTATTCGCTGTTCCCCCCCATATCATACCCACAGGCACCAGCATCGGCTCGTGACTGTGCCCTACCCCCTCCCACCCCTCTTCTCTCCCCTCTGCCTGCCCCGCTCCTTCTCTCTGCGACGGGTGCAGCGCAAAGGGTGACGGGCCGTGGGAGAGGTATGGAGGGTGGAGAGATGGGTGGTGTGCGGTGGTGGTAGCTTCCCTGTGGGTTGGGCCGTGGCCAGCGCTGCAGTCTAAGGCGTGATGGTGCTGCTGGTGGTAGGGGCAGGTGTTGTGATGGTGGGTGGTGTGGTGGGTTTGAGGTTGCGAGTCCCGCTCGTGCTGTTGCTGCTGGTGATGGTGGTGGTGCGGGAGATGCTGATGCTGCTGCTGTCGCGGGTGCTGCTGCTCCTGCTGGTGATGCTGTTCATGCTGATGGTGGTGATGGTGAGAGCGTGAATCCTGCTGCTGCTGCTGCTGCTGCTGCTCCCCCTGCTCCTGCTGCCTCTTATCCTGGTGCTCCTGCTGCTGTTGCTGCTGCTGCTGGTCGTGGTGGGGAGTGCCAAGCTGCGGCAGCAGCTCCATTCCATGCTGCATGAAGCCATGCAGGGCCGCATGTGCACTTTCATGCCCCGAAGCACGTGTGGGAGAATGTATTGAAGCATGCATGGGAGCATGCAGAGGCTCTGAGACATCCATTGGTGCATGTGGTGAAGCATGCGTGGGTGCGGGAGCGTGCATGGGAACATGTGAGGGAGCATGCATGGGGGCATGCATGGGGGCATGCATGGGGGCATGCATGGGGGCACGCGCAGCAGCATCTGCTGGAGCATCAACAGGAATGTGCGTAGCCGCATCCACATGCATCGCAGCTTTCTCCTTCTGAGCCCCCTCAACACTAGTCGCAGGCATTGCAGAGCTCGCAGGTGCGTGCGTTGCACCTCTCGCAGGAGTCTCAGCAGCAGCAACAGCAATATCAGCAGCAGCAGCAGCAGCAGCAGCAGCATCTGCAGCGGCTTGCGTGGCAGCATTTGCAGGAGCATGAGTGGCAGCAGCAGCAGCAGCAGCAGCAGCAGCAGCAGCAGCACCAGTGGCAGGAGGGTGAGTTCCAGCAGCAGTGGCAGGGGCGTGAGCAGCAGGGGCAGTGGCAGGGGCGTGAGCAGCAGGGGCAGTGGCAGGGGCGTGAGCAGCAGGGGCAGTGGCAGGGGCGTGAGCAGCAGGGGCAGTGGCAGGGGCGTGAGCAGCAGCAGTGACAGGGGCGTGCATGAGGATAAGGCTCCCCGAGTCCCCCTCGACGTCAAAGGGCATGCCGTCCTCCCCCACGACGAGCAGGTCCGTGAAGAGCGTGTTGCCCTTGTCATCGTTGTACTCCACTGCATACGCCATCACCATGCCCCGGGTTAAACCTGAGCTGCTGCCAACCTGGGAGGAGAGCAGGGAGAGATGTGGGGGCAGAGACGAGAGGGGAGAGGATGGAGAGGAAGAGGGGTGAAGAGCGTGTTGCCCTTGTCATCGTTGTACTCCACTGCATACGCCATCACCGTGCCCCTTGTCAGGCCCGAGCTGCTGCCCACCTGCCATGAGAGCAGGGAGAGGTGAGAGGGGAGAGAGGGAGAGGTGAGAGGGGAGAGGAGGGAGAGGGGTGAAGAGCCTGTTGCCCTTGTCATCGTTGTACTCCACTGCATACGCCATCACCGTGCCTCTTGTCAGGCCCGAGCTGCTGCCCACCTGAGATATGGGGGAGGGGGGGGATGCCGGGGGGGGAGGAGGGAGAGGAGCGGAGGGAGAGGAGAGGGGGAAGGAAAGAGGGAGATGTGTGGAGAGAAGAGGGAAAAAAGGAGAAAGAGGGTGGAGAGGAGGGAGATGGAAGGAGGAGGGAGATTGTATAGGTGGTGAGAGATGGGGGGTGAGGAGGGAGATTGTACAGGTGGTGAGAGATGGGGGGTGAGGAGGGAGATGGAAGGAGGGGGGAGAAAGGAGGGGGAGGATAGGAGGGGCAGAGAGATGGCGGAGAGGAGGGAGAAGTACACACACCAACATGCATGCACACCAACTTGTATGCACACCACCTTGCACATACACCAATCCTCCTTCATGCTACCCACCTTGCACACATGTTGCCCTGCCACGCTGAAAATCTCGTCCTGCAATCTGATCCCATGCAGCTTGCTCCACGTAACCCTCTTTCCTTCTCCCCACCCCCGTACATAGACACGCATCCCCCCCACTCCTCTCGCCCACTTATACGAAAACACGTGCCACCCACCTTGCACACATGCCACCCACCTTGCACACACGTGCCACCCACCTTGCACACACGTGCCACCCACCTTGCACACATGCCACCCACCTTGCACACACGTGCCACCCACCTTGCACACACGTGCCACCCACCTTGCACACATGCCACCCACCTTGCACACGTGTTGCCCTGCCACGCTGAAAATCTCGTCCTGCAATCTGATCTCGTGCGGCTTGCCAATCCGCCCAATCCCCTCCAGCCACGTGGTCAGCAGACCCACGTCAAACTCCTCATGGAACGGAATAAACGCCCCATCTGCCCGAACAAAAGTTTCCGGGCTCTGCCCGGCAAACACGCCGTACCAGAGGTGGTCCGAGGCAAACGACGAGGCTCGGTCCACCGAGCCTAGGTACTTCCCCGGGCCTAGCGAAGACGGCAGCGGGTGGAACATTTTCTGCTTCGGCTGGTCAAAGTCAACTGCCACGTGTCTGTTAGTCAGAAACCCTAATCCACGTGGCTCAGTCAGGCTCCTAACTATAGCTCCTAGCGTCCCATACATCTCCTCGCTCGCAATTTGCGAGCCGGGACCGATCCTAGAACCGCTGCCTCTTAATCTCTCCACTAATTCGTTACTAATTAGCTGCGGCTGCTGCGTAGGACCCCCACCGCCCCCATGCCCACCGTAATAAGAAAACTCAACTATATCCACGTCACATTCGTATCCATCTGGTCCCTGGAGCTTGCTAGGAAGCATCTGGGAAGGCAGCAGCCACTGCTCATGAACCTTCCGAGGCACAAACACAATGATTGCAGGCAGGTCCGTGAGAATCCCGTTCCTCGTGCGCAGCCCCAGGGCTGTGCCGAGGCTGAACCGCCGAAGCTGCTCGCTGTGGCAGGCTCGGATGAGCATGAGCTGCCCGACCCTGGTGGCGGCTCGGCGCGGAGGAGCGGGAGGGTACTGGGGCGACAGAGGGGCGGTGGAGAGCGAAAGCGCGGTCAGATGGCGATGCGCGTCAACGTGTAGATCAGTAGTTAAAGGCCTATTCAGGTCAGGATTTAAGTCTGGATTAATATCCTCCGCCTGGGTTGCAGTGACTGCCTGCGCCTCGAAGCCTCTAAGCCTCTTCTCCGTGTTACTCGGAGGCTCTTCGCTGTCCTCTCGTCTTCTCCTTGCTCCTCGCGCTTCTCCCCGTCCCTCCCTCTCCTCCGATCCTCCCTCTCTCCTCATCCCCCCTCCCTCTCTCCCCTCCGCTCCTCCCTCTCCCCCTTCCCGACCTGCTCTCTCTTTCTGAGCCGATGTATCTGCACCAGCCCCGCCACTCGCATCAGTACCACCCGCAGCATAGGCACCAACGGCCGTTCTTTCAACAAACGGAGGGGAATTTTCAAATCCAAGCCTCTTATTCGGGGTTAATTCCTGCTCAGCTCCTGATGCCGCAGCTTGACCAGCCGTCATACGCGTTACAGCAGGCTGCGTTTGCAGACCCTCCGCTACAGGAACACCCAGCGGCAGAGCACCAATTCTTATAGGGGTGGATCCACCACCCACGGGACCCATCCCTCCGATCCTTCGCATTTCATTGGCCGGATCCGCTGCTGCCGGGTGCGCGTCATTGGTGGCTGTGGGCGTTGCTGCTGCTGCTGACGTGTACTGCGATCCAGGTGACGTGTAATGCGCTTCTGCTGACGTGTACTGTTGGAAGTAAGCTTGACGGCTAACCGGCGATTCTCGGGGGGCCTGATCTGTCGGCCAGCGGACGTAGCGAGGAGTGGGGGAAGGCTCGTGCTGCCCTGCGGATTCAAATGGTTGGAGGGTCGGTCGAGTGCCGGACCTAACGTAGCGGATCGGAGGCTTGCGTTGAAATCCAAACCCGAAGTTACTGCCTCGGAGAAACCCATACCTGGTACTAGGTCTGGATCCCCAAGCATTACCGAACCTGCTGGAACCCGAACCTAGATCCGAGGCAGTGCTGAGCCTACTGGAGTTTTCCAAACCCAGGCTGGTTGAGGGTTTGTGAGAGCGTGAACCGGTGAAGCTTAAAGCGGATTGTTCGTCATTTTGAGACCAAGGAGCTGCTGAATGCAATTTTCCGCCAGACCCCCGAAAGAAAAAGCCCATGTTGCTGTCTCTAACGCAAAAGCCTGTGGGAAATGATGAATTAAAACTGGAGTATCGCGAGCTAATGCCACCGCTGCAGCTGCTGCTGCTTGCAGAGTTACTACTATTGTCCAGGGAACCACCACCACCCGCCATGATTCGCTCCTCGCTTGGAGTGACGTTTCAGGGTGATGGTTCATCTCTTGGTAAGTGAGTGGCTGATGAGAGAGCGCAGAACAACCTGAGAAACCACCATCAGAGGATAAGGCTGTAATATAATCTCGAGGCAAATCTCAAGGTTTCAGGGATCAAGATGGACTCTCCACCGCATGGAACCTTTTTATAGCGCTCTGTAGCCTTCAAAAAACGCGTCTCCCGCCAATTTACGAGACCAATTCCCGAGGGGTATGATACCTGGCCTTCAGCCACTTGTGCACCACACCTCCTCCCGCAGGTCGGACTGTTCTGTGGTGTGGGGCAGGCGAGAGCTGCATGCAAATGAATCCGAAGAGAATCAAGTTCATTTGCGACATCCATCGACGTCCGTTGGACGTTGACGGATCTCGTGGACGGACATGAGTCCTCCTGACATGACACCCCTTCACGTCCGAGGGAGCCACTTTGAAGACCCTACAAAATCTGTTGGTGGGGGCAAAGTCGGTGGTTCATAATTCGAACAGTCAATTGTTGCACGTTTCCGAAATTTCGCAAGCCACCTCGCTGGCGCTGGCAGCCAAATGCGGTGTTTCACAAATGCATCACTGTTCTTGTTCTTTCGCAATGTGCGTGCAGTTGTGGTTTATTTTGTCAATGGTAAATTGCGACAATGTTTGCGACGCGCCAAGTTTCTTCCCCAGAGGCTGTTTCCATCGCTGTTTGAATTGTTCTACATCCGAAGGGATGACGTGTGCTGTCGTAATCGGATGTGGAAGTTCTACAACGGTCGGCATCCCCCGCCCTCGTTTGAGGGGAGGCTTGTCCTTGCGGTATCCGTTTTGATAAAACCATGTGTACTCGTCAATGAATTTCAAATAACCTGCTGATCTTTCATGATTTACCCCCTATTCACTCTGGGCTCAAATCAGAACAAGAGTGAGTGAATGCATGAGCGGAAACTCATAACAAAAGATGCAATCGGTAGTGCAATGTTGTGATATATTCTATGAAGAACCGGCGACGGCCGGCTTGGCCTTGTGCAATAGTGCACGGTTTGGCAAAGTGGAGCCTGAGGTGGTGAGTGTTGCAATCCGTGGTGGACTTTGCTACGATATGAAATTGTTGCGTACATTCCTGAAGTAATGAAACTTTAACGTGAAGATCACTGTAGCGAGGACGAAGACCAAGCGACACAAACAGTTATCGAAGATAGTTGAAAGCAGTAAAATTTTGAAGTGCAAGCGAGGGAAAAACATTCAAACTGTTATCAAGCTGCGTTCAATTACCGAACTGGACAGTTGCCTTTCCCGATCTAGCTTGACTTTAAGGGAATGTACCCACTCGGAGTACATGGCTAGCTAGGACTCTTCGCGTTCCCATGTATTCATATATAAATGTAAGACGACAGGAGTGTTAATAACAAAAAATTACTGTAGCTTGGTATTACAAAAGGAAGACGAAAGGTCATTCCTAGTTGTGTACCTTATTCTAAACATTCCTTTCTTACAAATATATCGCAATAATTCGTCGTGAGAATCGTTCGAACATGTCCATTCCTGTTCTCTTTCAAATGGGTACAAGTCTTTTTACATCTATGAATATCATGGACATTTTTTATCGTAACACCTCTTTTTGCTTGACGTAGCAGGTACTTGCACACTCGATTACTTTACAGAGGCTGTCGCAAGGGTACATACAAGGCGACCAACGATCTCAACACCGGCTAGCTTGAGCAGCGACTGACCAATATGAAAATGGACGAGCATAAGTCGGCAATGGAGTATCGCAACCGTGCTCAGCGGATTGTGGCCAATGTCAGTAATAACGGACTGGAATGATGGACTAGAAAGGATTGTGAGTACAAATATGAAACCCTAATGTTGTGACCCCCCTATAGGCTAACCCACTACAGCCTACTCAAATACAACATATACAATGTTTGACACACCCCCATAGGCAAGGTGGGAGAGACCTAGGGGTCACAAGACCAGTCAAGGCAAAGCAAGGCAACAACAAGCTCAGGGTGGATCTCAAGGATTCCACACAAATTCCGAGCACAAGCTAGTGGTCACAAGACCAGTTCACATGCAGGTTTATAACAGAGCAAGAGATACAGTGATCACAACCTAGCAAGAGTAAACATGCAGGTAGATATATATATAGTGATCACAGTACAAGCAAGGTCAAGAGGTAAGTAAGTGAGGTCCAGTAGGCACAAGGCCTAGTAGAGTGCAGAAGCGCTGATGGTCACAAGGCTGAAGCGCCTTGGTGAACACATCAGCAGTGTTGGCCTCAGTGGCCACGTAGCGAATACAAAGCTGACCGCGCTGCTGTAGCTCTCGAGCAAGGAAGTACCGCAGGGCAATGTGCTTCGTTCTGTGCTCCAGTCTGTGCTCCTCACACAAGGCAATGGCAGCCTTGTTGTCGACGTACAGCACTGGAGGAGAACGAGGCCGCTCTCCGAGGTCGGTCAGCAGGTAGGTCAGCCAGCGTAGCTCCTGGGCAGCCATGGCTGTGGCGTAGATCTCAGCCTCGCAACTGGAGCTGAGAACAGAAGAAGAACGTGTAGAGCGCCAAGAAACTGAGCCAGAACCAAGGCTGAAGGTGTAACCCTGAGACAACCGCTGAGTAGCCTGGTCGTCTGCCCAAGAAGCGTCTGAGTGCCCTGTGAGAACAACTCGGTCGCGCCCTCCAAGCACAAGCCCCATGCCCGACGTACTGCACAAGTAGCGCAACACCCTCTTAGCGGCATCCATGTGCTCCTTCCTGTGACGGCCAGGAGCGACATAGCGTGCAAGGATGCTAAGAGGGTATGCCAGGTCAGGTCGAGTGCAGGTCATCAGGTACATGAGGCAGCCCACAAGCTCTGGATACGGGCCACTCGGCTCTACGGACTCATCCGAAGGCAGAGCTGAGAGCGAGTGACCGGTAGACAGAGGAGTGGACTGAGGCGAGGAGTACGTGAAGCGGAAGCGCTGGAGGATCTGCTGCACCATGTGTGACTGAGTCAAGGTGATGGTGCGCCGTGCTCTGTCCCGGGTGATCCGCAAGCCAAGATAGCTCGTCAGTTCACCCAGGTCTGTGCACGTGTGTCTCCTCTGCAGCTCCGACTTCACGTGGGCGAGTGCCGCAGTGTCAGCCGTGGCAAAGACCAAGTCGTCGACGTACACGGGGATGTAGAACGGCGGCAGCGAGGTGTCGGTGCGTAGAAACAGCGACGGGTCAGCAGTAGAGGGCGCGAACCCAAGAGCCGCAAGTGTCGTCCTCAGTGTGTCGTGCCACTCACGTGGCGCCTGGCGGAGACCGTAGACCGGCCGCTGGAGCCTCCACTGGGTACCAAGAGGAACCGACCCAGTGAAGCCAGGTGGGCGACGTAGCCAGATCTCCTCGTGCAGGCTGCCCTGCAAGAAAGCAGTGCTGAAGTCAAGTGAGTGAAGCTCGTAGTCGCGCTGAGCGGCTATGTGCAGCAGCACCCAAAGAGTGGTCATCTTCGGGGTGGGGAGAAGGTCTGGAAGAAGTCGACTCCCTCTCGCTGACTGAAGCCTCGAGCAACATAGCGCGCCTTGAAGACAGGAGGAGAACCCGGCGGCCGCTTCACCCTGAAAATCCACATGCCACTGACGATGTTCGCCCCAGGAGGGGGAACCTCGTCGACGTAGGTGCGTGTGGACTTCCAGGAAGCCATCTCGGCGTCCATGGCTGTCTGCCACTGAGAGGAGTAGGGACCCGCCATCGCCTCAGCGTAAGTGCGCGGGGTCGGGATGTCTGGTGCATCCGGGTCTCCCTCAGGGGCAACTAGCAAGGACACGAGACGGGGCAAGACAGCAGCAAGGCACTGGAACTCCTCCTGTCTGTCCTCAAGGACGTCCGTGCCAAGAGCACACTCACCCCCGACGGACGGAGGACAGACAGACTCAGACGCAGACTCAGCGACAAGGCTAGCAGCGTAGTCTAGACGACAGGCAGCAGCAAAGTCAACCAGCTCAGCGACTAGAGCAGACGCAGCAGAGGACTCAAAGGTAGGGTCAGTGACAACAGTAGCGAGGAGACGCGTGACAGTGGGACTGGCAGCACGACGGGAGTCAGACTCCGGGTCAGGAAGAGTAGGAAGAGAGGAAGCAGGAGGAGACGGCAGAGGGACACGCTGAGGAGCAGTAGAGCGACGCAGAGTCATGTAATGAGTGCCAGGGACAGGAGGAGGA